GCATCAACGACACTAGGTTGCTTCCGTGTCCTGGCTGTTGTAAATCATGTTGCAGTGAATATATGGGGTTCATCTATCACTTCAAACTAGTGTTTTCCTTTTCTTTCTTTGCTGGTAAATGCTTAATAGTGGGATTACTGGAATGTGTGGTTTATCTATTTTTAATTTTTTGAGGAAACTTCATACTGTTTTCTACAGTGGTTGTACCAGTTTGCATTTCCACCAAGAGTGGAAACAGCCCCTCACCAACATTTATTATTTCTTGTCTTTTTTCTAGACATACTAACTGGTGTGAGGTGATAGATCTCATTCTGGTTTTGATTTACATTTCTCTGATGATGAGTGATAATTGAGCATTTTTTTTCATGTGTCTATTAGCCATCTTTTTGTCTTCTTTGGAAAAATGTCTGTTTGTGTCCTCTGCCCATTTTTTTTAAATGTTTGTTTATTTCTGAGAGAGAGTGAGAGAGACAGCCTGAGCAAGGGAGGGTCAGAGAGAGAGGGAGACAGAGAATCTGAAGACACGCTCCAGGCTCTGAGCTGGCTGTCAGCACAGAGCCCGACGTGGGACTTGAACCCACAAACCGTGAGATCCTGACCTGAGCTGAAGCCAGATGCTTAACCAACTGAGCCACCCAGGCCCATTTTTTATATTCTACCATTTTGGTTTTGGTGTTGGGTTCTGTAATTTCTTTATATATTTTGGATATTAGCTCCCTTTTGGATATACTATTTACAAATAACTTCTCCCATTTACTAGGTTGCCTTTTCATTTGGTAGATGGTTTCCTTTGCTGTGCAATGTCTTTTATTTTGGGGTAGTCCCAATAGTTTCTTTCTGTTTTTGCATCCCTTGCCTGAGGAGACCTGTCCGTAAATAGCTGGAATAGGATGAAGGGAGGCAGTGGGCACGTCCGCTTGGAGAGTAGGGAGGTACAGCTGTCAGGGTCGTGGGCTGGAAGGCCACCCCGGGCTCAAGCACAGTCCGGTTTGGGCTTCTGCCTTACATATGCTGTGCAGATAGTTTCATCCAACTCCCACACAGTGTGAAGGTAAACACTTAGTTCAGATATCTAGAGGGAATCTGCTGTGTTCACCCAGAAAAATGAATGAAGTGCGGGTACATATTACAACGTGGATGTACCTTGAGAACCTTCTGCTACTCCGGAGAAGCCAGACACAAGCGGTTACGTGGTATATGAATTCATGTATATGCAATATGCAGAATAGGTAAGTCCACTGAGGCAGAAAGCGGCCAGGGCTGAGGGGGTGGGGAGTGGGAAGACACGGCTTAATGGGTCAGTGGTTTTGTTTTGGATTGAAATAAATGTTTTGAAACTAAATGGAAGTGACAACACTGTGAATATACAAAGTGCCACTGAATGTCCCTTTTTTTTTTTTAGAATTTTTAAATGTTTTTTTAAATTTATTTCTGAGAGAGAGAGAAAGAGAGAGACAGCGTGAGCAGGGGAGGGTCAGAGAGAGAGGGAGACACAGAATCTGAAACAGGCTCCAGGCTCTGAGCTAGCTGTCAGCACAGAGCTCGACGTGGGGCTTGAACCCATGAACCATGAGATCATGACCTGAGCTGAAGTCGGACACTTAATGACTGAGCCACCCAAGCGCCCCCAAATGTTCCTTTTAAAATTGTTAATTTTACATTCTGTTAATGTTAGCTCAACAACAGAAAACGGCATTGTGAACCTCATCTTTTCCCCAAAACCCCAAGACAAGCAAAGTTGCAGATAATTAGGATGGATATCCTATACTTTAGTTAAACTGACCTACTTTTTTTCTGAATAAATTTAGTAAATATAAATGTAAATATATATATATATGTGTATATATATATATACACACACACATATATATATATTTAACCTGTGTACTTTTGTTCTTGCTGTGTTTTATGACTGGAATGTCTTCCTCTGCCCATTTTCCATATTAAGACCAGATTTTATCCGGTCTTAAACGTATAGCACCAAGTATCGTACTTCCTTTACACACGGCTTGATCGCCCTTTGTCTTTCCCAAGGTCATATTCAAAATGATCTCTTCAACTGTGAAGACCCCTGCCACTTTTATCTATACCTCTTTTGGGGCAGTTGTTGTATTTGAACTTGGGTTATAGTCACACCTGTTTCTTAGCTCTCTACCTCCTTGAGTTGTGCGGCCAGTAATGTATGATTTCTTTTCCTTCTCACAGTGTAAGTGCACAGTGTTTGTTGACTAAGTAGAAGAAGAAACCACATTTTTGAGAGAGTTGAGGAATACTTGTACTATGTCAGCTAATTTTCCTATAGCTTCGCCATTCTAATTAGAGTGCAGTGATTTAAAAGAGTAATTCACTCCCGGTGCGCCTGGGTGGCTCAGTTGGTTGGGCGTCCAACTTCAGGTCATGATCTCTTGGTTCATGGGTTCGACCCCTGCATCAGGCTCTGTGCTGACAGCTCAGAGCCTGGACCCTGCTTCGGATTCTGTGTCTCTCTTTTTTTTTGCCCCTCCCTCTGCCCCTGTCTCTGTCTCAGAAATAAACACTTAAAAATTCATTCTCTTATTCAGCATTTAGCTACTGTGATGGGTGAGTCCTGGGAGTACAAAGACGACGCTGCCAGAGTTCTGGCTGCAGGAGAACACCTCTTCATCTTTTTTTTTTTTTTTTTTTTAATAGTTTATTGTCAAGTTGGTTTCCATATAACACCCAGTGCTCATCCCCACAAGTGCCCTCCTCCATGCCCTCCCTCCCTCTCCCCCACTATTTTCCCCCCTTCTTCTCCCCCACGGTCCTCTGTTAAGCTCCTCCTAATCCTCCTATACGTGCAAACATATGATATTTGTCCTTCTCTGACTGACATTTCGCTCAGCATAACACCCTCAAGGTCCATCCATGTTGCTACCCATGGCCAGATTTTATTCTTTCTCATTGCCATGTAGTATTCCATTGTATAGATAAACCACATCTTTTTGATCCTTTTTTCTGTTGATGGACACCTAGGCTCTTTCCATGTTTTAGCTATTGTGGAGAGTGCTGCTAGGAACATTGGGGTACATGTGCTCCTATGCATCAGCATTTCTGTATCCCTTGGGTAAATCCCTAGCAGTGCTATTTCTGGGTCATAGGGGAGTTCTACTGTTAAATTTTTGAGGAACCTCCACACTGTTTTCCAGAGGGGCTGTACCAGTTTACATTCCCACCAACAGTGTAGGAGGGTGCCCGTTTCTCCACATCCTTGCCAGCATCTAGAGTTCTCTGATTTGCTCATTTTAGCCACTCTGACTGGCGTGAGGTGGTATCTCAGTGTGGTTTTGATTTGTATTTCCCTGATGAGGAGGGACGCTGAGCATCGTTTCATGTGTCTGTTGGCCATCTGGATGTCCTCTTTAGAGAAGTGTCTGTTCATGTCTTCTGCCCATTTCTTCACTGGGTTGTTTGTTTTTCGAGAACACCTCTTCATCTTGTGTTTAAAGTCGAATTCACAGGAGACGTCCATTGTTAAAGCCATCTTCGTGGAGCAGTCTAGTCCCAACATGTCTGAAAACTGACCCTCGTACACTGACGCTGCTTGCTCATGGTGCTCTTTCTCATCGGTAACTCTGATGAAGACAGGCCGACCTTGAATTCTCAATGTACTCATACCAGTGAGAAGGTTTCTTTTGAAAAAATTTTGAAAATTTCATGTTAAATTTCATTGTGATCTGTATGTACCTAAACTTCCCTAAGGCAGAGTCATCATTGCTGTTGTTTGTGGGGCTCACAGTGTTACTGTGTCCTCTACTTGCGTGCTCCTGAATGTCAGCGGGGAAGCACATGTGTCATCATCTGAAGGCGGTGTGCACACAGGGGCCGTCATCTAGATGCCCTAACATCCTCTGAAGTGCCCTATAAATAATCAAATAAGATTTCAATTTACTCGGTTAGTTTCAGTAATCTATACCTTCTTGTATTCTAGATCTTTGGAAGTTTATTATCTTTCTTTATGAGAAAGTAAACCAGGACAATCTATTTCTTCTGTTAGTATATAAATGGGCTTTTATGGTAACATTTTGGATAAAGTTTAAAGAATTCTATCTTCTGTTCTCAGTGACTGCTCTGAGTGATTTATCATAGAAGTAGAGATCAGGAAGTTCTTTTAGGCCATGGAAAGAAGTATCAATTTTAATACTCTGAAGGCTTAGGCACTGAGAAGTTGTTAATAAAATATATATTAGATGAAAAAGCACATTTTGACTTAAATATAGCATTACTTTTTTTAGGCTTGGGATTTCAGATAGCCAAATGATTTTTTGCTGGTCTTTTCCCATACTGTTGTAATTCTGAAGATAATTAATAATTAACAGTGAGCCATCAGGGGGTCCGGAAGTGCGTTCATCTCCGTCATTGTGTGGTAGTCGAGGGAGACTGACCTGTCATCACCTTCTCGAAGGTGGGCATTATGTTCCATGAAATGAGAATATGAATGGAGGCAACTTGAGAATTGCATGGGTGTATTTTTTACTTCGTAAAGTAGCCCCAGGAAGTTAGAACTGGGGGTAACACGGAGGTTGCAGAGTCTGGTCTTGGAGCCGTGGGGCCCAAGGCCTGGAGGGGTCGCTCAGCAAGCTGCAGGAGCAGGACTTGGACTGAGGCTTGTGTTTATTCACCGCAGCATGGCTGTTCTCCTGGAGTGTGTGTGTGTGTGTGAGCGTGTGTGTGTGTGAGCGTGTGAGCGTGCGCAGAACTAGTGTTAGTGTGTGTTGGTGTCATCATGAACTGCATACTCGCTCTCCTCCTGTTCCTGCGCCCTCTCTTTTCCTCAATAACTTGAGTTCCCGTAGTTCCAGTGTACGAACAAGGTTATTAAGAGGAATGGATTTCAGCTCCGTGTAACATGACCAAGGGATTGAAGGAAAGCACCATTCCCATTCTTCGTTATTTCAAAAAATCCATAGTTGTTAGTGATGCTCTCATAATTTCCTTGCACTGTTGACTCAGGAAGTCCTGTGCATATTTTTCATGTTTAGCCAGGCTATGACGACCTTAATCCTGACTGGAGACTCTCTCCTGAGAAGAGGAAAAAAATCAAAGGTGAGTGGTGTGAAATACGATAATTAAAACCTTATGAGACAGTAATTATATGATAAAGGTGCTCTTTAGATGATATATGTAGGAGATGAAAACAAATCTTTTTCTTTTTACCCTCCAAGTTTCTCTGGCCGGGGCCCTGTAAAATTAGATTCATAAAAGATTAACAGGAGAAAAACAAAGCCGAAGTTACTAACTGCATGTACGTTGGGAGGACCCAGAAATGAATAACTCCCAAGGGTTGTTTGGAAATTGGTTTTTTGTAGCGTCCTAGCAAAGGAACAATAAAATTAAGTGATGAGACAAAGAAAAAGAACTTGGAGTTTCACACATTTCTGTGTCTTAAAATATTTCTTATGTCAAACTGGCCTGTTTTGAGGTGGCAGCGCTGGTCTCCTTCAAAAGTTTAAGAGGAAATCAGCATTGGGGCACCTCGGTGGCTCCGCCAGTTGGGTGGGACTCTCGGTTTTGGTCAGGTCATGACCTCTTGGTTCTTGGTTCTGAGCTCCGAGTCGGGCTCTCTGAGTCGGGCTCTCTGCTGACAGTGTGGAGCCAGCTTGGGATTCTCCCTCTCCCTCTCTCTGCCCCTCCCCCCTCAAAAATCAATAAACGTTAGTAGTGAAGACTGTTATATGTCTGTCTCAAATTTTTATTAAGTGTATGATTCTCTCATATTGTCTGTCTGAAAAGGGGCATGTGAACATTTTCCAAAACCTTTTAGAACCTTTATGATATGAACGCTTCATACATATCAACCTTCCAGCCTGTTTTGTTGAAAATGGTGACCTATATATGTAGATTTTTCAGTTTTTGAGAGGGAAGACCTAAAAATATTTACTACTCCTGCATCCTTAGAATTTTGGACTTTGACAAATTGTTGGAACTCAGATGTTTATTAAATAGGTTACCATTTTGTAAAAGTTTGGGTGATGACTTCTAATTTCTTTTTTCTTACTGAGCACGTTTAGGGCCCAAATATGACTTTTAAATTGATCATTGGATTGCATGTGTTGTATTTAATGCACATCGACAGTTGAGCTTGTGTTGATTTACTTTTCCCCATTAGATAGAGAGTCTTTTTACCCACTGATTGATGTAAATTGGTGGGCAGCTGGCGCAGTGACTTTGGCTCGCTGTTCTGGTGCTTTGACCGTTTCGTCAGTGAAAACGTTGAAGAATTTACTGGGAAAATCCTGTGAGTGGTTTGAACCATCACCTCAAGTCACCGCGACCCATGATGGAGGATTTTTAAGTTTGGAGGTAATGCTTTCCCTTTAGGAGCAGCTCATGTGTCAGAAAGAGAACCTGTATTTCACCCAAAATCCAAGCACCTGATTTATTTTTTAGTGATTTTGTCCATTATTTTTATTCAAGTATCGATAAACATTTGATTTTCAAATTTTAGCTAGCCCATCATCTAATCTTGTCTTTAAAAACATAACCCTGTGACTGGAATCAGAGATCCAGTAAGAGTAAAGAAGGACCTTTTGGTGAGTCAGTTAAAATATTTGCGCTGTAAAAGAAAGAAGAAAATCGAGTCATTTTGCTCTTTAGAAAAACATTTTTTCTGCACAGACATGATAGATTTTGTTCTTTTTCTTAGATTAGATATCTTGAAATGTAAAAGGTATTCCTACTCAGATATAGTCTTTAATAAACGATTTCCCGGAAGTTGGGGAATTTAAAAATTCTGGTTCTTTTAGTAAAGAAAGCTTGTTTGTCATGACAAAAGACTTGAATAGAGAGGCTAGTCCTGTAAAGTTCTGTTTTGGTCATTAAAAATTCTAAGTCTTTCAAGGGTAACGACCTTCAATAGCTTTCACTTCAGTGCAGATTCACAAGTATTTTTTTTTTAACCTCAAAATTTGTAACTGAGTCTACAGATGTGATTTAAAGAGAACCATGGCTTAAAATCTAAGCCAACTCTGTTAAGTCTGGAATGAAAGTTATCTTCAACAGTCAGGCTTTCTGACTCAGAACTTTGTGAAGCTGTTAGACATTTTTTTTTCCCCCAAAAGGAGGGAGGGAACGAGAGGTAGTCTCAGTAAAGCAAATAAAAACCTTCATGTTCATTTTCTAAATAGATGAAAACCTGTTTTTCTACAGCAGGTACAATAGTACCAAATTGAAGAAATTAACATTCTTTTAATTTCCCTAAAATAATTGCCAGGCATATATTTGGGGGATCATATTAATGAGCTGTTACTAAAACAGGCTTTAGTTTTGGAGATCTGGAGCTAGTAAGGCAGAAGATCTTTCTGGAAGTGTTGATGTATATACTGTTTGTCGTTGGGTTCCTTTGAAGCTTATTCTTCATCTTAATCCTGTGGCTTATGTAGTACATCCAACCAGAGTAGAATTAAAAATATTTTTCTCATTAACTGTACAGCTTGCCTTTAGCTCCTCACTACTAATTTAACATTTCCCTTTTCAATTTAGTGTGAGATTAAACTTGCTCCCAAACGATCTCGTTTGGAGACCAGAGCTGGAGACGAAGATGAAGGTGAAGAGGAGTCTGATTCTGATCAGGAAATATCTGCCAAGGCTCGCTACTTCGGCTACATAAAGCAGGGCCTGTACCTGGTGACCGAGATGGAGCGATTTGCGCCCCCGCGGAGACGCCCACGAACCGTTACTAAAAACTACCGCCTCGTGAGTTTGCGCTCCACGACTCCGGAGGAGCTTTATCAGAGAAAGGTGAGGACGTGTCCTCTACCTGTTGGAGTTTGCGGGCATCCAGACTTTATTTTATTTTACTTTATTTTATTTTTTATTTTATTTTATTTGAATGAGAAAAACTAATTTTTTTTAACAGAAATTTAAAGAGGGATTGGCCTATCATTGACCTGTTAGAAATGTCGGTATTACAGAGCTTTCGAAAATGATGCTGGTTTTTGTGCCTGAGGAATCCAAGTAAAAGCAGTAGATAAAAGGTGGATTCACGGAGACTGATTGTCCACTTGGTGGATGAGCTGGGTCTTTGCTGCCCTTCATGCGGCCTTTAGCTCTCACCTTATCTGTGTTCAGTACAGCTGTGTCCTAGGTCTACAGATGGGGAGGGAAGAAATGCAGACTTGCTTTCTAATCAGGCATCTGCTTGGGAAGCAGATTTGGTCCACTCTGAGCATTCTAGTTATTTATGCCGGGCGCTGCGGCGTCCGGCTGTGCCTGGGACCTGGCGTCAGGCTGTCGGCACTCCTTGTCCTGGTTTTGCCATCATTTTACTCTGTAGACACGGGCATTTCAGCTTCTCCCAGCTGTCTGTGAAAGAGTGGAAAGAAATACTTGATCCATCTGCCACTCAACAGGTTTGTGGGCTTCTGGTGCCACAGCACACGTGAGAACTGTTGGGAATGCATAACATACTGTAAAGCGTAAGGCGATCGCATCAGGATAGCAACACCATGGACGGTTCAGTAATGTAAAGTTCTTGTTCCCATTTCTTCGTCCCAAGATTGAAAGCGAAGAATATGAGGAAGCCTTGTCTCTGGCTCAGACGTATGGCTTGGACACGGACCTAGTGTATCAGAGACAGTGGAGGAAGTCCGCGGTCAACATTGCTTCCATTCAGAGTTACTTGGTATGTGTACATACTTTTGTAATGTGGTAAAATTCAAATTATGGAATAGTTTTTGGTTATAGGCCTTCATTTCAGAGCTTTATATATTGCTGACATTTCTAAAGCTGAAGTGTGTTTTATTCAACCTGGAGGAGTTATCCGATTGTATTGGCCCTGCAACTGGACTTTGGTACTGAGGACGTGTGAACAAATACTCACCGATAAGCCAGTTAACTACCTGGTTTTTGGCCTAATCATTTCTCTTCCTCTACCTCACTTAACTTTCTTTACCTACATCATTCAGGATCCCATCAGGAGCTGGAAACCACCTAGTAATTTGGACGGGAAAAGTTTTAATATGGAGGGTTCTTTTATTTTTTTAAATTTTATTTATTTATTTATTTTGAGGGAGAGAGAGAGAGAAAGCGTGTGCATGCAAACAGGGGAGGGGCAGAGAGAGACGGAGAGAATCCCAAACAGGCTCCATACTGTCAGCACAAGACCCCGACGTGGGGCTTGATCCCACAGACCATGGAGATCATGACCTGGGCTGGAATCAAGAGTCAGACGTTTAACCACCTGAGCCCCCAGGCGCCCCTGAAGCATTATTTTCTAGTGAATTTACAATAAGGGGGTAGAGAGAACAGGAAGGAATACCCTAGGGCTGAAGGCCGTACCTGGGGAGGGAGCAGCCTGTGAAGGGAGCTGGGATGATACCTCACTGAAGGAGGAGCGGTTGCCGCACATCAGATGGGAGAGTTCTCTGGGATGTCTTGGGCCGGGGCTGGTCCTTAGTTGCCAAGGTTGGCAGGCAGCAAAAGGCAGGACGGATGGGCAAGCTGATGTCTGTAGCCAGGTGCGACAGTGAGCTGAGGTTGGGGGGTGGGAAACCTCAGATGAGGAACCATAGCCATGACGGAAAAGAAAAAGGTCCTGCTATGCAGGCGGACGTAGTCTGGAAAGATTCCCCCCCAGCCCTTCTGCCAGGTATTCAGTGGAAGTTGTGTTCAGTGGGAGCAAGCACTCTGGATGTCCCCTACACACATGCGCTGGCTGCTAAGCCGCAGGAACAAGAAGTTTAGAACCTGAGCACGGTTAGGACTAGGAACCAGAGCCTTTCCCACGCCCTCCACAGTGGCCCTCTAACGCCCTCTCCTGATGAAGCTTGATACTTTGTCCATTGCAAAATGGAAATGCTGTCTGTCCCGTAGCTGGCAGTGAAGAGAACTTTTGAAGCTGAGAGGCAGTAGATAACTGATGTTACAATCCTGCCAAATTCCCCTTTTTTGTTTAAATCTTCCAGTTGGATTCCTCCTGCTTCTTGCTGCCTGAGTTAAGGTTGTTTTGTAGCCTGTGTATTTGGACCGTGGCACCTTGGTGAGGGAGTGGTTGGGTTTCTGGCATGCTTTTGAGAGGGCGTGTGGCTCCTCATGTGACGTTTAGAAAGGAAAATACCTTTGCGTGTAGGAAGACCTAAGAAATGTTGGGAAAATGTTACGACAATTGTTTTCCTTATAATTTATGTACACAAGTAATTAAAAATAAAAACATAATCTGAAAGTAAGTAAGAAGTTGATGCTTCAACCAAACTGGAAGATAAACTGTTAATACAAGTGAGACACCAGAGAAGAGACAGCGTGAGAGATCATGAGATAAAGGAAAACGAAGAAGTTGCTTGTATTTCCTTTAGAATATCAGAACACCAAAGCTGTATTATTTTCTTTTGTGACTCAAGACAGTGAGTTGTGAGTTTATGTATACCTGTTGAGGGTTTTTTCTGGAACACAGTAGAGGACAATTTTGGTCTCTGAAGGAGTTGACAGGTTTAAGAGAGACAAAGCACGTACATTTTTTATTGGGAGAAATACTTAATTCAGCTAAATAAATAGGCAGTTAAGAGTCAAAGCTCTTGGTGAAGGAAGGTGAAAGGGTATAGGAGAGGCATCAATATGGCTTCTCTTTTAGGGAGCTTAGAATCTTTCTGAGAAGATAAGCCTCATGTCTAAAATGTAAATAACCATGCAAGAAGATTCCAGATAAATGTTGCAGAACCTAGTGAACATAGCAATCATTTTAGACCTAGCGGTTATGGAAGGCTCTATGTAGTGAAGATGTTCTGAGCAGGTTTGAGAGAATTCAGAGCAGGCCTCCTGGAGTTAGAAGAGTGGAAGGTGTTCTTCATGGGACAGATGGTATGAGCAAATGAAAAGAAAATGAGCATGACATGTGGCATTGACTAAATCTGTCCTAATCATTGCTGGGTGTCCAGTTTCGTACTTGGTCCCCAGTAGGTGCCCACTAGCTATTTTTTGGATGAGTAAATGAGCTCTGTAAGCAAACTAGTCTGCTGGATCTGATATTCAGCAGTGTGAAGTTTGGGAAATATGGTTAGAGAGATACGTTGATTTGGGTTCTGGAGGATGTTGAAGGCTTGTGATGACTTAAGCTTTTTATCTGTAGGGTAACGGGGGAGATGTGAATTTTTGACTGTGGAGGTGCAGAGGGAGATGGCGTAGAAGGTGAATTGGCGTGGAAGGGGAGTGGTGGTGGGGAAACCCTCTAAGGGCAAGGGACTCCCTGTGAGTCACAGATGTTATGTGTTGATGACATAGACTGGTATAGAGGCCACAGACTTGGAGAATGGGAAATGAGTTAAGAGACATTTGAAGGAAGAATCAATAGAATGGAATGTGTAAAAGAATAAAGGGTAAGAGTTAAATCTCACTTAAAATTTATAACCACAGTGACTCTTTCAGGAACAGGGGAAGTCAGAGGATTCTGAATGGAGTCAGAGGAAGCAATTGGGAGGGAGGAACAGGCCCTTGGTCTTTCCAAAGAATAGCATATTATGACTTTTATGATTAAATTATCATCCATACTTTGTGATACATCTCGTGGTCAAGTAAATACAGAACTTTGATGTGCTATGCCTCATTAGTTTTGTTTCAAAGTTAAGCATGCTTGTTACAATAGAATGAAGCTTATTTTGCCTTTCTTCTTTCTTTTCTACTCTATTATATAGCCCAAATGCAAACTAACGAGCAGCTATAAAATTTTGGGTAGATCATTTTTATGTTTCTAAAAAAAGTCCTGAACTTTGTGTTTTAGTTTGTCTCATTAGAAGAAAAAGGAAAGCTGTAGGAATATCATTCTTTTCATGCCATTCTTAAAATATTTAAAAAATGTTTTATTTATTTCTGAGAGAGAGACAGCGTGAGCAGGGGAGGGTCAGAGAGAGAGGGACATACAGAATCTGAAACAGGCTCCAGGCTTTGAGCTAGCTGTCAGCACAGAGCCTGGTGCGGGGCTCGAACCCATGAACCATGAGATTATGACCTGAGCTGAAGTCGGATGTTTAACCAGCTCAGCCACCCAGGCACCCCTTTCCGTGCCATTCTAATCATCGTTAGGGAATTTGCCTTTTCCTCTTAAGCTTCTCTAGCAGCTACCTGTGGGCCAAGGGCTTAGGTAGCTAGACTCCCTTAGGTACAGCTTTATAATTCTAGAAGTGCTGTCACATGCCATGGGTTCTTTAATGCCTCTGCTTTTTATTTGTATCCAGAGTAAAATAAAGAAACGATCTTGGGTTCTTCATGAGTGTTTGGAAAGAGTTCCTGAAAATGTGGACGCTGCAAAGGAACTGCTTCAGTATGGACTGAAAGGCACTGACCTGGAGGCCCTGGTGGCCATAGGACAAGGAGCAGATGATGGCAGGTTGGTCACAGACAGACTTGGAGGCAACAATAAAGGTGACTTTGTGAAAACATTTAAGCTGAGACATGGTAAAGGGTAAACGCTTCTTTATTTAGGTTACCCTGTAATGAGACAGTTGCCTTCCGTAATGCTTCTCTTATCTGAGGTCACAGCTTTCTTTCCTTTGAGTTATATATGTGCACATATGAGAGCTTGGGGCTAAGAAAAGAGCAGGTTCTACAGACTGTTAGTGGATGCTGGCAGTTTCCAAGCTGTGGGCTGAAGGCACCGACCTGGGTGTGCTCACTAGTCAGAAGTACCTCCTGGGCAAGTGTGAGCTTCATTCACTTTGTTTGTCTCTAGCCTCGTACCTTCTTTAGAGAAGTGGAGTGATTAAATCAGGTGTTTTGTGAAAGCACTTCATAAGCCTTTAAGTACGACACAAATGTCTGTTAGTAAAATAATAAAGGTATTTGACAAGAGCCATTGCTCATCAGACATTTGGAACTCTTTAAAGATATAAATGTGATCATGTATTTGATAAATAAATAATGAAAATAAGACTGACATTCATTGCCATTTCAAAAACCTTAAATAGAAGTGATTCAGATTATAAACTCTGGGCAACATTTTCTTCATGGGCCATTTCACCTTGGGCGAATATAACCACCTGTGTTTTCCCAAGTCATTTTTATTGTTATGATTTAAAAATTTTTATATGTGATGATTAGTGATGACTTTTTGCTCATCCTGTGGATATAACGTGTGACTATCTTTGCCTGCCATACACAAAGCTTTCTTTTGAATAATTGCTTATTTCTGTTTCTGTGGAAATCAACTTAATAGTGAAATCAGCCAAAGTAGGAGGAAGCCGCTTCCACTAATAGCTTTGGGTTTTCTTTTTCTTCCTGCAGATTTACATTACCCGGTGACGTGGACATCGACAGCCTTTCCTATGAGGAACTTTCCCCACCTGACGAGAAGCCTGCCAAAAATAAGAAGGAGAAGGAGCTCAGGAGGAGACAGAAACTACTTAAATTAGTGAACTTTTCAAAGTAAATGATTCATAACTGTTCATTTGGTGCTTTCTTTAAAATAGCTACTCACCGAAGTGTGTTCTTTACTAGGATTAATTGCTCTAAATTATACCAGCAACTTCCATCAAATACATTTACTATGATTTTACGCTTGTGCTTCTGTGTGTTGTTCTGTCAGAATGGGGCTCAGTGGAATATTGGTTATTTTTATTCTATTTTAACTCCCAGAGAACTGCTTCTGGTTAATATAAGTGGCCTAATACTGTTATTCACACAGGTTAACCCTGGAACAGAAGGAACTTTGCCGTTGTCGACTGAAATTATTAACCTACTTGGATCGGCTTGCAACGTACGAGGTGAGGAGTAGTTTTTTTAATTGTCTTTTTTTAAATTAAAAAAATTTTTTTAATGTTTATTTATTTTTGAGAGACAGAGAAAGATAGAGGATGGATAGGGGAGGGGCAGAGAGAGAGGGAGACACAGAATCTACAGCAGGCTCCAGGCTCCAAGCTGCCACCACAGAGCCCAATGCAGGGCTCAAACTCACTGACTGCAAGATCCTGATCAGGGCCAAAGTCGGATGCCCAACCAACTGAGCCACCCAGGAGCCCCAGACTTTTTATTTTTTAAAGTTTATTTATTTTGAGAGAGATAGAGAGAGAGAACGCGCCTGTGCGTGAGTGGGGAAGGAGCAGCAAGAAAGGGAGAGAGAGAATCCCAAGCAGGCTCTGTGCTCGCTGTCAGCACAGAGCCCAGTGCGGGGCTCAATCCCACTGACTCTGAGATCATGACCTGAGATGAAACCAAGAGTTAGACGTTAACTGACTGAGCCCCCCAAGCATCCTGTGTTGGACTTCTATTTTGAAGAAATACATAAAAGGGTGTTAGGAACTGTAAAAGTCAGTACAGATATAGTTTATTATTTTTATTCTTAGCCTTTGTTTTACTAAATTTTACTGATTTTGAGATCTTAAGGAGTTCCTTAAAATGTTCAGAGTTTGACTATGCAGTTAATTTTCTTTTATTATCCTTTAGTTATGAATTGCTATTTCCTATTTAGTAATATTTCTGATATGATAACAGTAAGTACACTCACTATTACATTTTTTAAAGTATTTGTCAAGCCCACTTTCTCATGGAATTAGGCTAATTAAGCTTTCAAAAAGTAGGTGAAATTGATGAATTTGGCTATTAAAACTTAAAAGTGAAGATGTTCAGATACAGTGGCTAACCAGCTAGATAGCGGTAGAGATAGGCATTGCATTTTAATCATAGCACGTAGCTTGTTTTATTAATTCTGTGATGAATTAGATAAAAATGATTCATTTAGGGGAGGAGGCAAGATGGCAGGGAAGTAGGGAGCTCCATACATTTGACTCGCCCCCATCTCTCAAACGGAGAAGACCTGAAGCCACAGGAACCCTTACAGAATCCAGGAGTTTGGGAAAAAAGAGAGACAGAGTCCGCTGAGAAAACCTTTTAGCAGCTACCTCAAGAAACACATGGTGGAGAGTCCCAAATACCACTACAAGTAGGGAAATATAATAACCAAAGTCTCAACATGAGAGACCAAGAGACACCGTTCAAAAAACACTTCCTGAATGGGCAGGCCCTGGACAGTCAAAGAGCCTTCTTTAAAACAGCAGTACTCACAGGTGCAGAGTGCAGAACAAGCTTTTACAACTAACAAGAGACAGAAAGCTAGCCAGAATAATAAATGGAAGAATACTCCTCTAAAATTCCAGGAAGAAATGACAGCTAAAGAACTGCTCAAAACAGATATAAGCAACATACCTGAACAAGAAGTTAGAAAAATAGTCATAAAATTAATCACTGGGCTTGAAAAAGGCATAGAAGACATCAGAGAAACTATTGCTACAAAGACTATGGAGCTTAAAAATAGTTGTGATGAATTAAAAAATGCTATAAATGAGATGCATAATAAAATGGAGGCCTCCAATGCACGGATTGAAGAGGCAGAGGGGAGAATAGGTGAATTAGAAGACACAATTATAGAAAAAAAGGAAGCCAAGAAAAAGAGAAACTGATCCAGGAACATGAAAGGAGAGTTTGAGAGCTGAGTGATACAATCAAATGGAACAATATCTGTATCAGAGGAATTCCAGAAGAGGAAGAGAGAGGGAAAGGCGCTGAAGGAGTCCTTGAACAAATGATAGCAGAGGACCTCCCAATCTGGGGAAGGAAACAGACATTGAAATCCAAGAGGCACAGAGAACTCCCCTCAGATGGAACTTGAATCGATCTTCTGCACGACATATCATAGTGAAACTGGCAAAATATAAGGACAAAGAATTCTGAAAGCAGCTAGGGATAAAAGGGCCCTAACATACAAAGGGAAACCTATCAGAATGGTGACAGACCTATTGAAACGTGGCAGGCCAGAAAGGAATGGCAGGGAATCTTCAATGTGATGAACAGAAAAAACATGCAGCCAAGAATCCTCTATCCAGTAAGCCTGTCATTCAGAATAGAAGGAGAGATAAAAGTCTTCCCAGATATACAAAAATTGAAGGAATTCGTCACCACTGAATCAACCCTACTTGCAGTACTATTCTGCCAGTTTTATGGATATGAAAACTGAGGCTTGGGGAAGGAAAGCAGGGGCTCCTAATGGAGTCTCTCATCTTAATTAGCCAGTGTTGATAGTCAGCCTGCTGTGTGAGGAAAGGCCTGGGCGCATGAAAGGAGGTGGGGTTAGCCTGGCAGAGACAGCTAATGGGATTCTGGGAGGGGGGGGGAGCTGGCCTGTGGGGGAGGGGTGGCACCCACCACAAGGAGGGGGGTGGTTGGAATAGCTTCTGGATGTATTTTGAAAGGACTTTCATGCTGTGTAAGAACTTGAATTGTTAAGAGATTGAGTGGGTTTAGGAGAGAACAGGAGGTGGGTAAGTGAGACAGTTGTGGGCAGCTCTTGCAAGACATTTTGTTTCATGGGAGCCGAGAAGGTGGGGGTTAGCTACAGGAGTTATTATTATTTTTTTTCATGGAAGTAAGAAGAAGTATTGTTTGTATACTCATGGGAATGAATCAGTAGAGGGTGAGGAGGAATTTACTGAACAGAAGAAAGAGGAGATAATGGCATGATTGTGGAAATAGGAGAAATGGTATCCGGAGCCCGAGTGGGGTTTGAAGCTGTTTTGGGAGCAGATGTATATAATTTTTCTGTTGTAACTCATGGAAGGAAAATCCTATTGGTATAGGTACAGGTAGAGGTACAGTTTTAGCAAGTTGGAAGATGAGAGATTTCCCATCCAATTGTGTCTGTTAAAAAAGTATATGAAGCAAATTTTTAGTTGAGAATGGAGATGGAAGTAAGGTGTTGGAGGTTTGGAAAGAATGAAAGAATTGTAGAAAAGCTCTTACCAGAGTAAGAGAGAAAAGAAAGCTTGTTAGGGAAATGTAGCTTTGAGGGACAGCATATTTGAATTGAGTTTATAAAATTTCAAACCTTAAAGAGTAGAGAAGAATGTAATGAGCCAGATGTACTTGCTGCCCAGCTGCAGCCATTTTGCCAACCTCGTGTCCTTTACTCTCCACTCCTGCCTTTTCTTTGGCTTAGTCACTTGTAAGCGAATTCCTAGACATCTTATCATTTTACCCGCAAATACTTAAAGTAGTGTCTGTAATTGGTAAAGACTTTTAAAGAATAGCCACAATAGCACTATTATTTCTAACAAAATGAGTAGTAATTCCCTAACATCGTTTGATATCCGCTTCACGTTCAGTTTTCCCGGGTTGCCTCAGGAATGTTTTTACAGTTGGTTCATTTGGATCAGGACCCCAGCAGTGTTGAGATCTGGAAATGAGAACTGTCGGCTTGGTTTTGTAATATTTCTACAGAGGCTTCTGGTAACTTGCAATCAGGGTTCATAGTTGCCTTCGACTAAGGATTAGGTTTTGCCAGGTGAATCTGATAAAGGGAAAGAAGCAAGGGATTAAAGAAATCTCTGTATAATGATGGGCCAGGGACTAAGTTGGTTAGAAGGAATAAGAGACTTTGAGGAGAGATAGCAGGTAAAAAGCATAGGGTCGCTGGATTGGATGTGTCAGTGAGGCTGAGGAGTTGCTGGAATGCCCTGGACCAGGTAGGCGGGGGCTGGGTAGCATTCGCTTACAAGTCTGGTGCTTGATGTATAGTTGTCCCAGAGAGTTCTTTCTTGGTAAGAAAGATCCAGGGATCCAGGGGAGCCCTAGGATGTGTAACTGTAAGGGAATAAAGGAAAGGATTGTTGTGGATGAGGAGTCAGGGAACAGAGGATAGTTTTGAAATGCTTTCTTTGTTTCCATGAGTATATGTTAAATTCTCCCCTCCCACCCCCCATCCTTCTCTGGCTCCTGAGTCTACTTTTCAGATGCAGATTCTCCTGCCCTCCCCACTACTTCACTTTTTTTTTGGGGGGGGGGGTTCATCCTTCAAATGATGTTGCTCCTTCAAGCTGCTTCATTCAACTTAATTTCCCTTGAAATCATACTCACTGCTGTATTAATTACAATACATCCTCTACGTAATTCATACTTTACCCCAGAGCTCCTGACGTATCTATCCACCTGCCTATCCACAAGCTTCTTTCAGACTTGGCTGTAGTTCCAAACCCAGCATGTTTGCAAGTGACCTTCTCAACCTTCCACCCTCCCTCCCTCACCTCCTCTACACCTCCTCATTCTTCTCTCTTTCCGACCTCAGTAAATTAATTCAGTCAACAAGTATTTACTGGTTACCATGTGCAAAGCAGTCTGCTGGCTATCTGGGCTCACCATTAAACATGGCGGACAGAGCCCTGTGTCCTACATGGCAACGGGGAGAGCTGCACTTGCAGCTCTCTTGGCTGACTCCTGTTTGTCTTTTACGCCTCAGCTTCAGTGCCTTCCCTGTCCTCCCCAAACTAGTTGCAAAGCACCCTTCCTGTGTGTTACCCTTTACCTGTTCCGAGGTGCTCGTTAGTCTTCCCTCTAGATTTTAAGCAATTTGGAGGGCAGGGGAAGCGTTTTACAGCACCCCTGGCACACAGTGGGCACTCAATAAATATTTGTTGAGCCAATGAATGTTTCCATCTGCATTTTACGTAGCTCTCCAGCAGCAGTAAGGTTAATCTAAAGTTCCCCTCCAGGTACAGGTGCTTATCTCACACAGCTGTGTATAATGGTCGCTTATTTGTTTTTAGCAGGTGGTGGGTTCTGGCCGTCGTACTCTAATTAATTTTTTACTGCCTATTTCATTTACTTAATTTTCTTTAATATTAACAGCATTTATAAATACAGCCATTTTCACAATAAAGACAAGAATGCGGATGTACTACTTCAGTTAACAGTTGATAGTTTAATTAATTCAGGGCTTATTTATTTAGGTAGGCAGAGTTGTAAAGGTTTTTTAATATTTTCTTGTCACCCGTATTTAAAAGCCTTTTCATTATGAAGTCGCTCTTTCCCCTCAGGAAATCTTAGGAGTGCCTCATGCATCTGAACAGAGATATGATGCTGAATTCTTTAAGAAGTTCAGGAATCAGAATATTGTTCTCTCAGCAAGAACTTATGCTCGGGTAATTTCTTTTTTGTAAATAAAATAATTATGTTTATTAACACATTCTAAGTCTCTGAGCCATTCAGTTAATGTTACTGCATGCATTTACCAGTATTTCATGTTTTGTTGTAGTATTAATTTAGTGAAAATGGAACCATATTTAAACATTTCTTAAAATGTTTATTTATTTTTGAGAGAGAGAGAGAGTGCATGAGTGGAGGAGGGTCAGAGAGAGAGAGGGAGACACAGAATCTGAAGCAGGCTCCAGGCTCTGAGCTGTCAGCACAGAGCCCGATGGGTGGCTCGAACTCATGAGCCCTGAGGTCATGACTTGAGCCAGAGTCAGGTACTTAACTGACTGAGCCACCCAGGCGCCCCTGGAACCATATTTTTAAAAATGTTTATTCATCATTCTGAGTTTCAAAAATATACTTATTTTTTATACTTATTTCTAATGCTTATTTTCATAGCATTAGATTGAGAAATGTGGTGCAGACTAGGAAGAATTGGGAATATTTCAAAGTGCCTTATATCCCAAACTGCATAATGAGCTAATTTTAGGTTTTTGGATATTGTCCTACAAAATCATTCCTTTTCTCCTGAGGTTTACATTGGAAACTTAACCCTTGCCGTTTGTACAGGAAAGTAACGTACAAGCCCTAGAAATTCTGTTCACTTATCATGGATCAGACCTGCTTCCTCATCGCCTTGCTATTCTGTCCAACTTCCCAGAGACCACCTCTCCCCATGAATACTCTGTCTTGCTGCCTGAAGCTTGGTACGTGACCGTCTTTCCTGAGTTTTATCTTCTTTCTAAATAATAAGTGTTTTGTCTCATGCTGAGTAGTCTGAATTAAACAAAATAATTTTAATGTAATCTATTTAAACTTTTTTCTGATTATGAACTTATTTCTAATTTATTTTTAAATGCTCTCAAAGCCAAAATGTGTCTAGCCTAACAGGATGACATTAATGAACATGAACTTAACTTTTTTTTTTCTGAAAGCTTCCTGGTTTTATTGGTGTGTGCTGAAGCCGCAGTGTTATAATGGCATAACACTGGTATAATTCAGTATCTGAATTAGATGTATTTTTTAGAAACGAAGTGTGGTTCTGACTGTGTCAGGGAGTAGGTCCAGGGGACTCAGGAATGTCTGAATTCTGCTTCTTGTTACAGCCTTTTCTCCCTGTGAAATTCCAGAGGCGGAAAGACAAATGGGAAATCAAAGTTCCACTTTACTATTAATTGGACTGATGCCCCATATCTCCGATCAGGGCTATCTGAAAAGTGGGTTATGTCATATGACAGAGACTCTAAGTTCAGTGAACATTTAGTCTTTGTTGTGACACCTGGTGGGCTCTGGAGGCCAGAACGTTTCTTCTTGAGCATGAAGAAAAGAGAATCAGTTCGCCTCCTTGCCTGGCGCGCAGTGGGTAGGCAGTCCCCCGGCGCCCGGCCTGGGTGGCACCTGGGAGCAGAGCGGAGTGCAGCGTGTGCTTGTCTTCTCAGTTACCGCACTGAGGGGAAAAGGCGAGAGAATCCAGTGGTCAGAACTTTTACATCCAGTGAGAGAACTAGTTCCGTAAACACGAGACCTTTTACCTCCACTAGGAAATGTGGCTCAGCCACCGATCGCATGATGGATAGCCTTTCTGAATTTGAGTTTACTCACCTTTACAATGAGTTGACAGTCCCTGTCTTGATTGTTCATACTCCATATGTTGGGTAACAAGTGAATTGAGATGAGATCTGCTCATAATCTGTGAAACACTGTAAGATATTATGACTATTCCATTCGAAATCACTAGGTTTTAGCTACTGGCAATGTAATAGTGTTAAGGAGTGTTCCTGGGCTTGCGGACCATTTGGCGTCCTTATTTCTCTCCTGTCCCCTCCGCTCAGTATCCTCTTTGTAGGCTTAGGTGTTGATGATGAAGAACAACAATATTTATAGAGTAATTAGTATGTATTTCATACATAATTATATCTGGTTTCTGAACACTTTTTATTACCCCTGTTATTACAGAAAACTGAGATTCACAGAGATTTAGTAGTATAACTCTATGTAAGTATGGCCAAGATTTGAACTGACATTTATTTGTAGTTGTAGGTCAGGAAGCTATAAAACTATGTTCTAAATTCCTCATTTTGCCCTACTCTTAGTGCTAAAAAAAAAAAAAAAAAAAAAAAAAAAAAGTCTTTTGATAATAAACGTGAACAAAAAGAAGCTTGAGGTGTTCCTTTCACCTTCATATAATTTCTCTTACCCCTGTATAATGATATGTAAAACGCATTTTGTGAATTTATAAATGCTTTAGAATATAATTTTATTTATTTTCTGCCTCTTTGCAAAAATAGATCTAATCCGATAGAAATGAATTTTTTCTACTGTAAATTGTTAGTATACAGAAAGGGCTATCCCTTAAAAATAAAAGGGAGGGGCTACCATTTCAAAAAAAATTTTTTAAGTTAATTTGTCTTTAGGTTCGAGTTCCCTTATGGTTGTGGTCTTCTGATGACTGCCTAAACATACGGCTTTCTGAAATTTCAGAATTGGTTTGCAAAAATAGTTTTAAATGCCCAATGCTGGATTATCTCTGCATGGTCTGTGGTTCCTTTACTGGGGCTGCCGTAGCCAAGTTAAGTTGTGGGAAATACGTTAGGTGCACCATATGGAAGCGGAGTTATGTAGGATCCTTGTGTTGGCACGTGTTGTTTAGACAAACTTCGAAAAGATTGGTTTCTTATGAGTCTTTAACTGTATTCATTTTAAACACATTGAGAGGGGCGCCTGGGTGGCTCAGTTGGTTAAGCGTCCGACTTTGGCTCAGGTCATGATCTCACGGTCGTGGGTTCGAGCCCCGTGTCGGGCTCTGTGCTGACAGCTCAGAGCCTGGAGCCTGCTTCAGATTCTGTGTCTCCCTCTCTGCCCCTCCCCTGCTCACACTGTCTCTCTGTCTCTCTCTCAGAAATAAATAAAAAACAATTAAAAAAAATTTTTAAACACATTGAGAAAGTAAAGATTTTTTTTTTTTTAATTTTTGTGTCTCAAGGAGGTCAATCTCTAGATGGAAAGCATGAGGAAAAAGAACAGGTTGTAAGAGAAACGTCCGTGTCTTCTCGTAATTTTGTGTGACTGCGGAGCCCATCCAGCAGAGCCTCTTCTAGGGGCTCTTCCATAAACACCCTCCTCTTCCTGTGTCCTGCTCACTCCTTGTCTGCTCTTGTAGCACAACCCCCTTCACAGTGTATTTTAGTCATTTGTATTTCTGCTTTTCTCCCTCTTGTTCCCGCCTTTAATAAACATCCAACCCTAAACCCAAAACCAACTCTTTAAGGCACAGACCATCTCCTCCTTAGTTTTGGATCCTCACGGCCCGGGTGGTGCCTGTGCAGTAGAGCGTCTGAAAATGGTTGCTGACTGGATATGTCATATGCGCCTTGTGTCCATTTATAAAAGAGATCAAAGGCTGTCCTGACGGGAATGCGGTAGAACAACTTCACCTTTAACAATGGAGGCGCCCTGGTTAACGTTCCACCAAGGCTCCCACGGCCTCCGTTCACAAGTCCGTTGCTGCGTGCGTTAGCCTGTGGTTGAAGCCTCCTCTTTTACTCTGCTTCAAGTTCTACTCTAGGATGCCTGGATCAGGAAGATCTAGTTGTAGAAATTGTTCCCTTTTTGAGGAAGTTTATTCTTCTTTGAATGCTTGGTGTTTGTTTATTTTCAACTCACTTTCAAGTCAGATGAACACAGAGTGTCTGTTTTGTTGGAATATGAGTGGGCCTCTGCCTCCCGGCTCCCTGTGTGCTGAGCACCGTCCGTGTGCTGAGCACCGTCCGTGTGCCTGGCACTATGGGAGGGACTCTGATGTGCAGAAAACACTGTTCTCTTTCACGGGACTGACGAGCTATGTTTTATGTATCAACAGAAGCATACAGTCCTGCTTACGGCATACGCTTTCAAACTGAGCAAGAAATGAGTTGAAAAGACTCTAAATACATTTACAGCCTTTTCTGCCTTTTTAAAAAAACTTCCTCAGTTGCAGTATTTGAAAACTAGTAACATGATCTTCCCCCTTCCTCATTTACTGGCTTCAAGGACTGGAGAACCTTCTGTGCACACACCTTTTTTCTCGGACGGTATGCAGTGTTCAGCAGCAGAGCCCCTGTTTCATCCTGCTTGTCTTCCCTTCATTCCTTCGACTTGTGTTTTGCAAGTAACAATGACTTTTCAGTACTCAGTTAAATTGATTCGACACAAGTCGCTTAACTCTAAATGTGTGGCTCCCCAAATGCAGAATGGCCGTGTAACTTCTGCATGGCCTTCAGCTTGCTGTTAAGACAGCGCCGTAAGCCCCCGTTTTCTCCCTCCTGCCTGCGCGAGCCTCTCCTCGTCCCTCGGATATGCCGCCCTGGCCCGGCCGTGGGGCTGGTTTTGTGGCCAGTGTGCCTCCTGCCTGGTGTGCCCTTCTCCTAGATCTTCATGTGACTGGGCCCCCTATTTCCTTCCGAGTCTCCCCCAAAGGGCCCCTCTTCAAAAACCCCTTCTCCAGCCGCTGTCTTCAGATGCCCCCCCCGACCCCAGCTTTTGCCCTTCCGCGGTTTTCTCCAGAGCACTCACACCTAACATATTATGTGATCCTTTGTCCTCTCCACTTTATCTGATCTCCCTTGGCCGTCCTTTTTACGATTTTACCCTCACATTAAATCCTCCTTTCGCGCTTTATTTTCTTCCTAGCATTTACCACTCCTACCTTAGTTTGTGTTCTACTTACTTATTTATTTTGTTCCCCTGCCTCCTGCCTCCCGGTAAAACAGCAGCCCCAGTAGGACAGGGATCTTGTGTACTTTCCCTTCCTTACCCGCCCTGCACTTAGCAGAGTGCCTGGCATTGTAGGCACTCAGGAAATACTTGCTGAATTAATGAACGAATAAATGAGTGAATATTCGAATATCAAATCCATAAGGGAAGGACCTTGTGTCTTGTTCACCCATGTAGAGTGTACATGGGAAGTTAGCAGTTTGCATTTTAGAGTTCAAGCTGTATGATATTTTATTTATTTATTTTTTTTAATGTTTTATTTATTTCTGAGAGCTGGCTGTCAGCACAGAGCCCGACGTGGGGCTCGAACCCACGAACTGCGAGATCATGACCTGAGCCAAAGTCGGACGCTTAACCGACTGAGCCACCCACGTGCCCCCCATATGATATTTTGGAAAGTGATAGTAGGTTATGCCAGCAGACTGACCTGTTCCCTACCCCATGTTGAGATCCGGCAGGCAGAACTTTTGCTTTGGCATTTAACCAAAGTTTGATGCATCAGTTTTGATTGAAACAAATTTGATGATTATGACTGCTCGGAAACTTCTGTGGTGTGTGTTATTTTTGTGTTTTATATTGTCATTCTTAAATTATCGTGTGTTTGACGATGATGAAATGTGACCAAGTTTGATTAAACTTTGAAATTATGTTTTCCATCATCGATGCCACATCTTTCTATTAGCTGTCTATCTTTAGTTTATCATTGCTACAAAATGTTTCCACTTTATAGTGTAGTTGACTGTTTTAAAGTACAAAAGTGACATTCCTGTTTCATTAGCTCCCACAATTTGTGGTCTTTGAGATTTTTGTAAAAGAAATCTTTTTATAAAAGATTTTTATTTTGGGGGTTTTTGATACTTGAGCATGTTTTAGAAAGATTATTTAGATTTTTCATTTTATGCCTCTTTCCCTTTTGTAGAATATTTTCCAGAATGATGGAAGTAACCTAATTTAATAAGTTGTATTTTGAACAGTTGTTGAAGTAGCATAGCAGAGGTGTAAGCGCTTTGACATTAGAGCCAGGGTACCTAATTCATGTTTTTGGAAAACTTTCTTAAATGCACCTCGGTCTTCTCCCCTGTACGATGGACATGAATTGTAGCACTTGCCTTAGCATTGTGAGAATGTTTGATGAGCTAATGCATATAAAGCACCGAGAACAGTGCTGGGCACCAGATAAATGCTACTTACGTGTTAGCACCTTCTGTTCAGGTGGAATCCTGTACTGGCACCTTGGCCTTAGATACTTCACGTGCTTCCTGTTTTAAACTTCTTACAGGCATGTTTTTATAATTATAGAAAAGTTGAATGGAGGACACAGGGAGTTCCTGGGTTCCCTTCACTTAGCTTCCCCTTTTTTCCTTATGATTATAACACATTTGTCCACACTAAGAAATTGTCACTGAAACAGTCAGTTCTGCTGTCACATGACCCATGCAGTCCTGAAATCACTGACTGTGTGGGGCCCTGCAGTGCAAACCACAGGGCTGTGGGAAGAGTGGCATTAGCGGTCCAGGACTCAAAACCTTTGTTCAGGGAAAAACAGTTAGGAACCTCAATGAAAGTCCATTTTTACATGTGTTGAATGGTTAACAGGCACACACACTGAGATACGGCCCTTACCTTGAGGAAGACCTTACTTAGAGGGACTGGAAGTGGCTGTTGGGAGAGTTGCAGGCCCTGTGTCATTGGGAAGTGGAGGAAGAGGGTGGCTGGAGATCCGGTGGAAGGTTGTGTCAGCAGATGTGGCTGGAGGGCTTCCTCACACACACTCTGTGATCCTAGGTCGCTGGTGAATGTCTGGGCATCTCTGCACGCGTAGCCTGATGTGGGTTGGGTTCAGTTGTCTGTGTGCACTTAGTGTTTCTTGTGGATGCAACTGGACATCAGCAGATCTGAAATTTGTG